ATAGTCGGATGTGGTGGCATGTGCCTATAGTCCCAGCTATTTGGGAGGCTGAGGCAGGAGAATTGCTTGAACCTGGGAGGCGGAGGTTGCAGTGAGCCGAGATCACGCCACTGCACTCCAGCCAAGGCGACAGAGTGAGATTCCATCTCAAACAAACAAACAAACAAACAAACAAAACAAAAGAAAACAAAAATGTAGCACCCAGGAAAAATGTATTGTTTCATTGCCCTGTTCTTGGCTGACTCACAGTTTCATCAGCATGGTCTATAGGAGACAGTTTATTTCTAACCAATAATAGATTTAGAAATAAAATATTTTGGTTCCCCTTGGTCAAGGAGGATTATCTTGTTCTAAAGCCTTCAATGGATAGGAAGTAACCATTGCCAAGAGGAATTGTTCTGTTCTTGGGGAGAAGAGAAACTTGGTGCAAGGCAGGGTTCTTATGTAGAAAAAGACACAATTTTAAAAAATTCAACATATTGAGGTTATCTTTTTCAACCTACTCCCTTGGAACTACTTTTCAAGCATTCTGTAAATCTTTCCATTATAGAATCCAGAAAATTTATAAATGGTAAAAATAGTGGCAATTATACGAAGTGAACTATAGGAAAACTTAATTTCTTTTGGATCAAAGAGTCTTTTGAGGAGCTGATTAAAGTTTTTCTATGCAGAAAATGCACAATACATACACTTCTCATATTTTCTCAGTTTCCAATTTTATCAGGAATTGGGATATGCAAGAAGTAATTTCCAGGCTAAATATTATTTAAGAGAAAGCATTTTTGAGTAAGGCATTTCAGAAGGTGCCTTATTCACATAATTTGAACAAAAAACAAGTCTCTGCTGTCTCAAACCATAATAATGAGTTAAGAAAAACCGAGACATACTTAATATTTGACAGTTTTACCCTGTGAAGTTAATAAGTAGAGATTTTTAAATCCTGGGAATGTGCTATGTGCTATGGACCACTTGTTTCCAAGTTTAATTTGGTGGATAAAGAATGGAGAGTCTTTTGCATCTCTTAGCAAAAAACAGAAAGAATTCGATTTGCAATGGCAAAATGATTTCATTTCATTCTTTAGCATCCTTTAGAATTCAAAATTAATTTTATCTATGAGATACAAGAAGCTTGCAAAGCAACTGCTCTTTTTGCAGTTAAAACTGATTCACTTTTATAATTGCAATCTTTCAGAAAATAAGAATCTTAAGCAGTTCTTACCTCATCAGAACCAGATCCAAAAATCAGCAAGTCAAAAGGAATTGCCGCAACCATGTCAATCAGGAACCAGCCTTTGAAGTAGTGTATTGCTATTTTGGCGGGATCACTTACCACTTCTTCATTCTGATTTACATATGTTGTTCTGAAGTTTATTAAAATATCTATGATAAACATAATATCCACAATCAAGTCTACCACATTCAAAGGGCTACAGGAATAGCCACATTCTCGTCTTTTCTGTTCTTCTCTGTCATTGAGGAGGAAGGCTGCAGAGTAGGGAGTAAATATAGCAGTGTATATGACCAACAATAGAATCAGCCAGTCCCAGACTGCCTTGAAAGGGCTGTAGTGCAATATCGTAAACTTGTTGATGCGTGGTGTCTGCAGTTTGTATTCAGGTAGGACGTCTGCTCCTAAAGAGAGAACCTGAATGTGGAAAAGAAAATCATTCATTACATAAAATGTCATTTTTAATTTGGTAAACCTACAAAATACTAAGGTAGCTAATTATAGAGTAAAATTTACTAGAGATAATTCATGTAACTTGAAAGTATTCATGAAACACACACATACATTAAATAAACCCATATAAACTCCTATCATGCAGTATATTTGGCTCAAGAAAATCACACTGGCATTTCTTGATAAATATCAATCTCACTAAAAAAATAATAAATATTGCTGCTGAGATACTAAGGAATTTTACCATTTCCTCTGGAACATAGTACTTCTCAGATGTAAAAACACATGGCTGTTTTTAGAAAATAATAAAGTCGGTTTTGATATATTAATAATGCAGTTTTCAAATCTAGGAAAGGATTAGTTGTGATGAATAGTAGCAGTCTAGTTGGACCCATGGTCACATTTAATTTACATATATTTAATTTATAATTAAACCTTGATACATTAAACCCAACTCATTCAAATTTTAATTAAGAAGAAGCTTCCCACCTGCAATCTGTTTTTAACATTAGGGGAAAAAAGGCAAATGAGATTAAAATGAACACAAAGGAGGCTTTTCCTTAAAATGTTGAGAGAGAGTATTTGATATTCTGGGACAAATACACTTTCATTCCAACTCTTCCATCACATTTAGAGAATTGCAGGAGGAAAATACTACAAGGAGATGTTCAGAATACTGACCTGGAAATGTTGCAAGATGTTTAGACCCCAAGTGGTACTTAACTTCCAAAATTTATTCTACTTACTAAGGCATCAAATGAACTAAAACAGTCCACCTTTTAGAGTTTTAGTTTACTTGAAAGCTAAATGACAGTTTTGTCTCTACCAAGCAGAAAAGTACATAATGTAGTGATTTAAGACTAAGTTTTAAAAACAAAAGTCAAAACAAAAAGGTTACCTAGCCACCCAGTAAAATGTAATTTATTGGGTAAAATGTAAGCCTTAATATATGTGATTTAAAAAGCTGAAATTTTGTAATGGCTCCACAGATGGCATATAGAGACCCATTTAAAAAGGGAAATGTGGGTTATAATTTAATGTTATGAATATCCCACACATGTACAATGGCTCTATTTCAAAGTTAATTTCACTGAGTACATTTTCATAGACTAGATTCTTCGAAACACAATTAATATATCATCAGCTTTGCAGCATGGATATCAGGTAATCCCCCATTCGTTAGTCAAGAGTGTTATGTCTGTGTTTTTGGCAATTCTATTCATGTTGGATTTAATTTGACTATAATAATGAATTATGTCAGATGTAATTGAAATTTAATTCTTATATTTATTATCATATCTTATAACATTTTATCCCCATATAATGAGTTATCATACCTAAAACTTTAAAAGTTAAATAGCTCCAAAAGAGGTACAATATAACTTTTAAATATAACAAAAGATTCAGCTAAAATAGGCAAAGCTGCTTTTTGATAACTGCTAAACTGCTTTAACTAGTTTTGAAAAAATTAATAAAGAGTCTGACCTGACCATTTATATTTAATATTTTACATTTATATTTACATTTATATATAAATGTAAAATACTAAAAGTCCAAGATATATATGAGTTTCAAAATCCAAATGGGAATAATTAGATTATTTGTCATTTTAGAAGTACAGATTAATAGAACTCTGATCCCATTATGCTTAGTATAAAGGATCAGTGTGTGACATTTTGGTCTGTACAAAATGAATTATGTTTAGTTCTTTTCCAAAAAACCATGACTACTCAGTATATGGAAAGCAAAGTCTACAAATTTATTTTGGCTTTCAATGTCATTGAAGTCATTTAAAATACGTACCCATTCTATGTTTCTAGTCTCTTCCTTCAATAGATTCCTCTGTGTACCCAGGGTACTCCAGCAAAACAAGACTAAAATTTTTGAGCTGCTGAGATCTTTCTATACCATTAAATCCACAAATCTCTCTCATATAAAAAGGTATGTAGTCAACCAAAGAGGACAAATAAGTCACTTTTAATGACAGATATATGTGTGTGAGTTTGCTCACTGCTTAGGTGACAAACCTCTGTCACTAACCTCCCACATAAGGCAATTGCAATACCTCTTTCAGCAGGAGTATAAATTAGAATGCAAGCAGCATCTTGGAACTGTGGCTGAAATTCTTTCCATCTCACATATGCAGACCTTCATTTAACATTTAGATGACCAGTGTGCTACAAGCTGGAGATGAAATATAGGGAAGATATGGTCCCTGAGATCATGGCGTTTATAGTCTGTTGGGAGATAGATGTGTGAGAAAGTGAGAGTCCTCTTGGGGTCCACTTCACTCAGGGCCTGAGGTTGGTGATGGTGCTGATGGTGGAGGTCAGTGGTGTTCACAGAGGACTTTTGGGAAAAGATGGCAGTTGAACTGAGACTGAATAGGAATCAGAAAATAACACAGGTAAGGAAGTTGGGAAGGGAAGAACATTACAAGCAGGGGGGACAGAAGGAAAAAGGGCAAAAAAGCATAAAATAATGTGCTGTGTGTTGGGTAATTGTAAACAGCCTTATGTTTTGCTGAAGAATAAAATGCCAGGGAATTAGGGTGGAGGATGGCCATGGAGAGGGCCAGTTCCAGGTTGCTGAAGGTCTAATGCGACAGGAGAGGGATCTCAGGCTCTGCATTTTAGGTCAACCTTCTCCTACATGAATAATATACTGTTAAAAGGAAAGACAATTATTGCAGAACCCCAATGAGGATTTATATTATTCTCATTTGCAACATTAGATAAATATGTTTAAAAATAAAACTAGATTAGAACTTCTTATGCTTATGTCTCTTAATATGACTTGTGGGTTAAACTGTGTACCCTAAAAGGATATGTTGAAGTCATAATCCCCAGTACCTATGAATGTGACCTTATTTGGAAAGAGGGATTTTGTAGATATAAATCAAGTTAAGATGAAGTCACAGTGGTTTGGGGTTGGCCTTAATCCAATAACTGAGGAGAGAAGTTTGGATACAGAGACACAAAGACACACAAGAATGCCATGTGTCATGGGAGCAGATACAGCTGCAAGCCAAGGAATGCTATGGATTTTCCACAGCCACCAGAACCTCAAAGACAGAGAAGCACAAGATATATTTTCCCTCAGAACTCTCAGAAGGAAACAATCTTGCCAACGCCTTGATTTCAGACTTCTAGCCCCTAGAATTGTGCAATAATAGAATTCTGTTGTTTTTAGCCACTCAGCTTGTGGTAGCTTATGATGGCAGCCCTGAAAAAAGTAATACATCGACAAAACAAGAAAACTCTTGAAAATAAAATATTTATAAAACCAGTGAATTCAAACTATCATTACTAACTCAATATGTGACATTTCTGTATATCAAAAATGATTTAAATTTGACTATTGTGTATGGTTTAATTAACAGATAAAATACTTTATTCTAATCTTAATGCCTTTTTAAAAAATGTATGTTGTCGGGATAGTATTCTAACTTCAAAGATTTAATTGCCATGTGAAGATAATCTAACCTAATTCTTAATGTGAACTCTGTTCCTGTTTGAAAGCCAATTTAAATGGTGTTGCTTGAAAACTACACAAACATTTTTCTTCACTTAACTTTAGCTTTAGAGCATTATTGAGTTCTACATTATCTCTGGTACTGGCAGTTCATTTTTTATATTCCAATATGCCTATTGATACAGAACCCCTGCAATTTGGTAAGCATAACAATGGAGTATGTTTTGAAAATACATTTGGAAAAATTGGTATGGTACCAAATGTTATGGTACAGGTTCTTTTGACTTTTGCATCATTATGCATGTTTTATGTGATCACTTAATTCTCATGACTTTTAGTAGCTAAAAAACTTCAAAAATCTTTATTTATGTAGCATGCCTTAGTATCAGTATCGTGAGGTAAATCCAAATGCAGTCATGGTTACTGTAGTCAGGTAGATGGCAGTACTTTGTTATTAGGTAATCATCTTAGTGATTCAGAAGATTCTTATATTTATTGTTTTAAAATTTCACCAACATATTGGAATTTTAAAGACTTTTCAAGAGAATGCACCGCCTTCTGAGAGCATTTCTTTCTATTGATATCACTTTAAGAGTTATTAAATGTTATTAGGCAGAGGAATCAAGGTGGCCAAGTTTGGTTTTAGATAGATGCATCTGGCAATGGGATGGAGGAAAAATGAAAGAGAATCAAGACCAGATACTTAGAGATCAATTAGGACCTTGGTACTCCAGGAGGGAAATAATGGAAGCCTACACTAGGAACCAGGTGGAAGAGATTGAGAAGAGGAGACATATTTGAAAAATAAATACATCACAGAATATAAGGATGAGGAGTGGAGAAATATTTGTTTCTTTGCAGTTCCAATAATAGCAAATCTTGTTAGAGCCAGTCAGGTAAAATACAAATCTTTAAAGGCTCAACCATGTTTGAAATAAGGGAAAGGGCACTGGACCTTAGGTTTAAAGTTCAGATACATTTTTTCTGATATGCTATTTAATCTCTAGATCTTAGTTCTTTTTTAAAAAAATCTGTGTAATGTAGATAGTAATCTTTGCAAAAATCCACCTATCTATCCAGAGCTACCATATCACATCAGATATTATCTACAAAATTAGTTGATAAAATGGGAAATGTTTATACATGTACAAAATATTTTCATTATTGTTTTGAGTTCTAGAGTTACCTGTTGAAATCCTGGTTCAAACTAACCAACTATACCCAAAATATTTAAAAACTGATTGGATAAAATTTAACATTGACTGAATATTGATAATACTACAAAATTGTTTTGGTTATCTATTTCTTGTAACAAATCAAACCAAAACATAGTGACTTAAAGTAGTTATTTTGTTATTTATGATTCTATGGATCCAAAATTTAGGCAGGTCTTGGCTAGGCAATTTTTTTCCTCCACATAATGTCAACTGGGGTCATTCAGTGATATTTAGTTGGTCGGGGAGCTTGTGTGGTGAATCCAAGACTTCATT